TTTAGTCTCAGCGTCAAAGGGGTGGTGGGGGTTGGTCACATACTGTTATGTAACCATCCAGGGTAACTGAAACTCAGAATCCCAACAGTGAAATCAAATACGTAACACCAATCTTGATGTTTGTGCAAAGCAGCCCAATGAGTCAAAGGGTATGGCATGGTTCATTGCTCCAGAAAAATGGAACGACAGCATCCACCACTAAGAATAGTTCATATTCGCAGGAGTTGGCCAAGGATGTTATGATTCTCTTAGAGACGTGCAGGGAGGGAATAACCAGACAGGCTGTGTTAACTCTTTCCTCACATTCAGCCATCAGGAGAAATTGACTTTGGTTTGGTTTGAAATCTGTCTTGCAACTACAGGAAATGCGTATTTCTTTCAGGGCTGTCATAGAAGACAAGGCCAATATAAAGAGCTTAAGCTGAGAATTAAAAAATTTAAAGTCCTAACTGAGCTCATCTTTTTCTTTCCCCATTGTAAAACAAACAAACCAAAAAGGCTACTTGTTATGGAATCAATCCTAACTCACAGCCACTGTATGGAATAGAACTACCCCATTGGGTTTCCAAGGCTGTAATCATTACATAAGCAGACAGCCACATCTCTCTCCCACAGGAAGTGGGTTTGAATCACTGACCTTTCAGTTAGCAGCTGAGAGCTTTAATCACTGTGCCATCAAGATGCCTTTCCCCATTACAATTCTTTTTCACTAGAATGTTCTATGGCAGAAAGTACTTGTATAGGAACTTGATTACAGGTGTGCTAGTTAAGGTTTTGTGTCAACTTGACTGGATCAGGATTCTCATTGGTAGTAATTCCCCAGGATGAGATCTGCTATGAGCAGTCACTCAATCGAAAGGGAACTTCTTTTGGGATGGTGTCTGCTTCTAGTATATTGAACACTCAGGCAAAGCTTGCTTGCTCTCTGCTAAGTCTGAATCTTGCATCTGACTTACCCTCTAACCTCTGATTCTTTGCACTTGAGTCAGTGGCTTGCTCTACTACCTACCAATCCTGGGAGTCACCAGCAGTCAGCCTTCTTACCTGCCAGACCTGCTGCCATGCCAGACCTGCTGATCATGATTCATTAATCTTGCATCTGACTTGCAGACTTGGGACTGCCTCCCTCCCTCTACAACTGTGTGAGCCACTTCCTCGATAAAAACCTCTCTTTATATGTTGTTAAGTGCTGTCAAGTCAATTCCAACTCATAGCAGCCTTGTATAGGATTTCTGAGGCTTTAACTATTCATGGGAGTAAAAAGCTTCATCTTTCTTTCCTGGAACTGCTGTCAGGCTTGAATCGTGAACCTTGTGGTTCTCAGTCCAGTGCTTATCATATGGAGCCACCATGCTCCCTCTCTTTATATAAACCTATATATATATATATATGTGGCATCCTGGTGGTGCTGTGGGTTAATGCACCAGTCTGCAAAGTCATTTGAACTGCAAGGTCGGCGGTTCAAGATCACCAGCTGCTCCTTGGAAACCCTATGCAAGGTCGCTATGGGTTGGAATTGACTCGACAGCACTTAACAACATATATATATATAATGTATAGAAAGAAAACAAAAATCGTCACCACCAATAAACAATGTTCTTATCAATGTAGAAAAGATAGAAGTTGTCAAAGACTACATTCTTCTTGGATCAACTATCAACACTCATGGAGGCAGCAGTCAAGAAATCAAACGATGTATTGCATTAGGCAAATCTGCTGCACATGACCTTTTTAAAGGTTTGAAGAGCAAAGATGTCAGTTTGAGGAATAAGGTGTGCCTGACCCAAGCCATGGTATTTTCAATAATCTCATATGCATGCGAAAGCTGAACAGTGAATAAGGAAGACCGTAGAAGAATTGATGCTTTTGAGTTATGGTGTTGGAGGAGAATACTGAAAGTGCCATGGGCTACCAAAAGAACAAACAGATCTGTGTTGGAAGAAGTGCAGCCAGAGTGCTCCTTGGAGGCCAGGATGGCCAGACTTTGTCTCTCATACTTCAGGCATAATGTCAGGAAGGACCAGTCACTGGAGAGGTATATCATGTTTGGTAAAGTGGAGGGTCGGTGAAAAAAAGGAAGACCCCCAGTGAGATGGATTGGCAAAGTGGCAGTATCAATGGCTCAAGTGTGGCAACAATTGTGAGGCTGGCCCAGGTCTGAGCAGTCTCATTGTGTTGTGCATAGGGTTGTTATGAGTCAGTACCAACTCAATGGCATCTAACAACAACAAATATATATGTTGTTGTTATTATTAAGGGCTGTCGAGTCAGTTCCAACTCATAGCCACCCTGTATAGGGTTTGCAAGGTGAGTTTGAACTGCCAACATTATGGTTCAAACCAACTTTGTGGTCCAGTGCATTATCCTGCAGCACCACATCAAGACTATATAAACAAGAACATGGTGGCTCCATTGACAAGTACTGGACTGAGAACCAGAAGGCGCCAGTTTGAGCTCACCAGCTGCTCTGCAGAAGAAAGATAAGACTCTCTGCTCCCATGAGGACTCTAAGGCTTGGAAACCCTATGCAGGGTCACTATGTGTTGGAACCAACTTATATATAAATTCCACTGGTTTTGTTTCTCTAGAGAACCCAGACTAGGATGAAAAGTATCTAAAGGTGACAATTGGAGTAACTGTTTAGTAACTGCATGTCACGGACCACCAGTGCTTCCTTCCCCACTGGAAACAGGGTCATTAATGCCTCTACATCTCATTTGATCAGAGAACCAATTCCAGAAAACCTAGATTCAATTCAGGAAACTTTCTGTTCCATTCTGGCACCAAATACTGTATTCATCAACCACTGGTGGTGGTTGTGCACCTCCAAGTTAGTTCTAACTCACAGTGACCCTGCATGAGGTTTCCGAGGCTATCTACCTTTATGGGAGCAGAAAGCCTCATTGTTCTCCCGTGGAACAGCTGGTAGTTTCAAACTACTGATCTTGAGGTTAGCAGCCCGACTCGTAACCACTACGCTACCAGAGCTCCTTAGATACATGTATATCTGTATCTATATATGAATTTGTTATTGGGATTTGATCTTAATCATTACGGGAGCTGGTTAAGCCATCTCTCTAAGGAAGTTACACATCTAATGCTGGAGTTTGAAGTCCACAGGGAGGCAGTTAGGAAGGGAAGATGGATGGAAAGTGTGGGAAGAGAATGTGAACAAACTGGAATCCACAAACTCAAGCTGGAGCCCAAGAGGAAGGAATGAAAGCTATGTCATTCATTACCCATCAGGACACCCTTCTATCATTGTTAGGATTCTGGATGGTACCTGGCTCTTTTCAGCCCAGTGGATTTGTATTCACAGCGCCTCTGTAGGGCAGAATAGAACTGCCCCATAGGGTTTCCTAGGCTGAAGGGGCAGATCACCAGGTCTTTCCTCTTGTGGAGCAGTTGACGGGGTTCAAACTAACAGCTTTTCAGATGGCAGGCAAGCACTTAACTACTGTGGCATACCAGGGCTCCCTTTGGACTCCTGGTGTGGTGCTGTGGGTTACTGCGCTAACCAGACACTCCTCGGAAATCCTATACAGGGTCGCTATGAGTCGGAACTGATGTGATGGCACTTAACAACAATGCTAACTTAGAATGGAGTTCTGGTGGTGCAATGGTTAACTGAAAGGTTGGTGCTCTGCTGGAGAAAAGACCTAGTGATCTCCCCCCATAAACATCACAGCCAAGAAAACCCTACAAGACAGCTCTATTCTGCTACAGCAGGTTGCTATGAGTGAAAAATCAACTTAATGGCATAGAACATTGATCTAAAAGCTGGCAGTTTGAACCCACTCAGCTACTCAGAGGAAGAATGAATACTCTGATGATCTGCTACTATAAAGATTACAGCTAAGAAAACTGTATGGAGTAATTCTACTGGATAACATATGGGGTACCAGGAATAGACTCACCAACAACCAGTTTGGTTTTGATTTTAATCCTTCTATTTATACAGCTCGACTCCTGGTAAGGCTCTGTAGGATAAGTACTGGACTGCAAAGGTCGGAAGTTCAACCCTACCAGCTGCTCCTTGGAAACCCTATAGTATACAGGGTCATTATGAGTCAGAATCGATTCTATGTCACCTTAGAACGTTCATACAATGGAAGGAATTCTGGGGATACTGTGAGTTAGGCAGGGTCGGTTGTTCAAACCCTACCAACCACTCTGCAGGAGAAAAATGAATCTGTTTGCTCTCGTGAAGTTTTATAGTGTTGGGTCAACTCAATAGGAATGGATTGGGTTTTGTTTGATGTTATACAATAAGCAGGATGACCTCTAGTGTTTTCAAAGGAACTTGACAATCTTTTGACTAAAGAATTATACCCTTAGGAATTTACTAAGGAATAATCAGGACGAACATAAACATGTAGCTATCAGGATGGTACAGCTGATACTGTTTACATTAGCGGCAGGCTAGACCCCACTAAGGGCATGTGGTGAATAAATCCTGGTACCTCCATAAAAAGGAATGCTCAGCAACCATAAAAAATGTTATGGACTATTTATTGACATGCAAAGGTGTTAAGGATGTGTTGATGTGGGAACAAATTAGATGGTAAAATGACATGCACAGGAATGATTCCATTTTTGTAAAAAATATATATGCATATATAGCAAGAAATATCTGCAAGGACAGCCATGAAAGGAAGAAGTGTTCATCCCTGGGAAGGGGGTTCAGGTACTCATTCTGTTCTTTTCTTCTCTGGATTTTCCACTTTCTCTACACGTCACATGATTGGCTTTAGTACCGAGAAACGTTCATCGATGACAACCCTTCATTTTGATAAAAACAAAATCCAAAAAAATCCTGGGTTTTCTAAGCAGCCGAAATGATTTGCAATTTGCCCCAGAGACAACATTTTTGCCCTCTGCAGCAGCTGGCAGTGACCTTTACAACCGAAGGCCGAAAACATCAGCTTCCAAGGAGAACAGGGCTTCCTGCAGCTTCCAGGGTCCTTGGCCCAGCTCCTGTGCTCCTGGAGCAGGTCAGCCTATTCCTGCTGGGTCACCATTTGCATCATCTTCAGAGCCATAGCTCCCTGGTCAGAGGGAACCTAGAAGGAAGCAGCGGTGCGTGAGGACCCCCAGTGTCTTTCTTGGGGCTCTCCTTAAAGACACAGGCTCTTCTGTGAAGTAACTCTCAGATGAACGTCAGGTTCTTTTGGACCCCGACTATGTCGGGTGGAAGGGACCTAGAGAAGTCAGCATTTAGGAGAAACCCAGTGACTCCATTTGGGGCTGATGGATGGCTTTCTATGGGCTATGCCTATGCCATGGGATCCTGACTGTGCAAGGAAGAAGGAAGATGCTCAACATTTTAAAGGATTCTATGAAGGAGGGATCCCAGATTGCGATAGGAGTAGAAAGAAGTCCAAGTGGGAAGCTCATAGGAAAGCTATAAACAAATACAAATTAACCAGCAGCCAGCCACCCACCAAAAAAACCTTTTGTTTGAATGATAACCCAACCTTTGTGTTTCAGCTTTCTTTTGCTTTCCCTCAGATGTGTGGAACAATCTCCTCTTCACGAACTATCAAAGTGGGGAGAGGCAGAAGCCTCAGTTTCTCTTTCATAAAGAGGGTAGAGAAGACGGTGACCAAGTTCTGAAAGGCCATGGTTCCAGAATTCCTTCTGGTACCTCCTGTCCTCAACTCTGCCGAGGATGGGTTCCCTGGGCAGCACAGGCAGGATGGGGCATACTCATCAGGAGACAGTCAATTAAAGGGGAAGTGGTTTGAGATGATTTAATACCATCTCCAGTGGTTAATTTATGGCTGTTTCCACTACCCTCTTGCTCTGTATGTGAGGGACCAAGAGGAAATTGGTCTGAGTGTACGGTTAGCTCGGGTTACCTTCCCCTCCCACCCGCCTAGGCAGGGACCTCTCCCTAGTAATATACACACATATATATATTACATATATATATATGATTTTTGTTTTTACTCTAAGACTTCCTACTAGCTTATACCAATCAATATTGAAAGTGCTCAGTATTAAAAAAAAATGTCCTCTTAGCCCGGTGTCCAGCCACTTTGCTCACACTTTCTTCAGATCAAATTTCTTAAAAGGGTGGATGACTTCCAGTTTCTTAAAGAAGATGCTGTTTCCTCTCCCTCATCGCTCATGTTCCCATCTGATTTCTGAGCCGAACCTCCCACTAAAAATGTGTGCCATGGTTCCCAAAGACATTGGTGGAAACAGTATGTTGCTTGAGTTGAGTCCTTCATCTCTGAGCGTTACCACTGTGGGCCCTCCAATTTCCCAAGCCACCATTCATGGAGACCTCATGCTCCTGGTCTCCCTCCTACTTCTTTGGCTGTTCCTTTCTCAGTGTCATTTGCAGGCTTCTCGTTAGGTACTTGTCAGGTCTCTGTCCCAGCTCTGTCCATACTTGGCCCCACACGCTCTCTCTCTCTCTCTCTCTCTCCAAGGACATCTTTGTAGTTTGGTTCCAGATCCATATATTATTTATATAGCCAGTATTCTAAATATATATGCTCAGTTGCCTACTGATATCCCACTTGGCTGTTCTACAGGTAATTGAAACTCACCTTGTACAGCAAACTCCCATTCTACTCCCCAATCTCAGCGAATGATGCTGGAGTGGAAGCCAAGAAGCCACCCTTCATTTCTTCCCCACCCCGATGGTTCCCATGTTCTGCCAATTCTCCCTTCTTACACTTTATCACATCCATCATCCTCTTGTCTTCCAACTGGGTCACCATAGCAGCCTCTTAGACTGGCTCCCTGTGTCTGTCGCGCCCCATCCTCTCTGCTGCCAGAATGTCCTTGTTAGGCAAACTGAATCATTTTACCCCTTTGCTTGGAACCCACCAATGGTGTCCTACTGGCCTTAGGATAAAGGCTGAATTTGTAGTGTGTTATACAGCGTCTCCTTGTTCATCTCCACCATCCCTCCTGAGTTCTCAGCTCTCTGGAGTCTCCTCTGGCCTGTGGACAAGGTGCTCCTAGTTCCCTCTCCCTTCTACCTGGCTAATGCCTACTCATCTTTTAGGGCCAAGTCTTCTAGAACCCCAAGGTGGCCTGCCTCTCTGTTATGGGTTGACTTGTGTCACCTAGTAAGTCCTGATGTGGTACTGAATCATCACTGGACTGGAAGCCACAAGGTCGGCAGTTCAAACCCACCAGCGACTCCTTGGAAACCCTATACAGGGTCTCTATGAGTTGAAATCGACTTGATAGAATTTAACAACAGCAACAGTAAGTCCTGGTGTGGCAGAATAAGCACTGGACTGCTAACTGCAAGGTCAGTGGTTCAAACTCACCAGCTGCTCCTTGGAATGCTACAATGCCACTTGACCACAACAATAAACTATGCTGAAGTCCTGACCCTCAGAACCTGTGAATGTGACATTTGCAAATACGGTCTTTGAGACAGTTAATGTGAGCTCATATCGGAGTAGGGTGGGCTCTCATCCTGTCTGACTGATGTTCTTATAAGATGAAGAGAAGAGACACACAGGGACAAAGACCACCTAATGGTGGAGTGGTATGTATACCAGCTGGGGAACACCGAGGGCAGCAGGAAGCCCCAGAAGTTTGGAAGAAAGCATGAGACTCTTCCTCAGAGCCTTTATATGGAACCCACTTGGCCAACACCTTGCTTTTAGTCTTCTGCTTTCCAGAGCTGTGAGAGAATAAATCTGATTTACATTCCCCATTTGAGTTTTTGTTTTTAACAGTACTTACAGGAAACGAATATAGTGCTTTTTCCTGGGTCAACCCACCACTTAGCATTACTTGTTCTGTGTCATTAGCACCTGTTGGCTACACTGTGAACCTGTGGCCTCACTCTTGGTACCATTTTAGTTCTGAAACAAAAGCTCACTCTTTCTCTCTTACCATGTGTCCAGCTCTTAGAATCCAGTAGAATGCTAGGTTCTTATAAGACTTGACAAAAGCAGACGTTTCAGAAGATTCTGGGTTGGTATACAGGGCTTTCCTCTTCAGCTTATTGAACATGGGCAGTTCTGACCACTTGAGTCTCCGCATCCAAGACTCCTGACCTAGTGAGATGGGAGACAAGAGCCAGGCATTAACAGCAGGGTACGGGAAGAATATTTTTAAACAGGTCCTATAATTTGTGCTTCCCAGCATAAAGATTGCCCCAGGATCTCATGAAAATGCAAATTCAGGTTCAGCAGATCTGAGGTGGGACCAAGGGTCTGCATTTCTAGAAAGTTCCCAATGACGATGATGCTGTTGTTCTTGGCTCATACTTTCAATGTCAAGACTGACTAGAAGAAACCGACCAGCTGAACTATTGTTTGCCTCTGACTCTTCTGCCATAGGCTCGTAAGGGAAAAAGTCAGGGACCTCTGTGGAGGCATGTTAGGAAGCCTGAGAAGTCTCAGGGATGAGGACATAGTAGCACAGACCACCTGGGCAGTTCATGGAAAAGCACAGAATCTTTTCACACTGTGCTGCAAGTCACAAAAAGACGGAAGTCAGGATTCTACTGACTTCAAGAAACATCACAACTGCCAGACCAGGTGCCTTGATTCGACTCATAGCTCTGAGACCCTGGCTCTCCTGAGACCCCAAGTGAGCGAGTGCCTGGGTGGCCCTGAGTCCTCAGGTTTACCGAGGCATTTGGGGCTTCGCTTTAATTCACCTAAAAATGCTTAACATCTAACTGTGAAAGTGCACAAAAACTAGGTTTCCCCTCAGTTAAAAAGTCAAGTCTAATGGTGAGTAAAAGTCTCTTTTTTTTAAATAGTATTTTGTTGTGGAGGTACTGTGTTGTTCTTTTTCTTAAAATAAGACCTAAGGGCTTAAGACCTGGAAGGGCCTAGGCTTCTCTGAAGAGTGAAAGCCACAAGCAGTTACCCACTTATTCAAAAAGTCAAGGCCAGGGGTAGGCGGGAGTAATAGGAAATGGTCTTACTCCTGGCATTTAAATGCTGCCAACCCAAGACCAATGTGCTCAAGGCCAGTTTCCTTTCAGCTCACCAACTGAAATTGCCCATGTGTCCCTCAGGGTCAGTTCCTACCCATGGTGTCCACAATGAGATCAAGCTGTCCATTATACACCGTCACGTTGACCCCAGCTTCCAGCAATTCATCCACAATGCTGATGGCAGGCTTCATGAAGTCTCCCTCCATGTTTAGGAAGACGTTTGTAGACTGGGCTGCACGTAGGGAAGGAGAAAGAGAGAGCAGCTAGGGATCTACCAGAACAAGGGGCTCCGTTCAGCCAGACCACCCTTGATTCCAGCACCTAAAGGCAACCACTGGGTGGCACTTCATAAAGATTCTGCATGGGCGTGCTTTACAAACAGGGACTAACCAACCCAGAAATCTGGATCCTGAGCTGGTGCCTTGGAAAAAAAGCACATTCTGCACACAAACTATTCACTCAGGAGCTTTTGATGATAGCCAGTCCCACTTTCATGGAGGAACTGAAGCTTGGAAAAGGCTGCTGCCCATAGACAGAGGGTAGGCAGAGGTTTAGAAAGCATTCTTTAGGCTGGTCCGCTCAGGGAACGAATGGGATGTGCGCCATTTATCCCCCTTGCCAAGGTACACCAGAGCCAAGGTTTATGCTCCCATTTGAACAAATGAAGCTGCCTTTGGTGGAAAACCAAGTCAGACACCTCCACTCTGAGCTTCTGCTAGCTGTGGTGCAGTCGGCCCCCAATTCACAGAACGAAATGCTGCCAGATCCTGCACCATTCCCATGGCTGGTTGGGAATTAGACTCTTGTGATCCTGGTTGATTTCCAGAAGTCGATCAGCATGCCTAGTCTGTCTTAGTCTGAAGGCTGCAGTGAAACCTGAATAGCATCAGAGCAATGTGCGAGCTTCCTGATGAACGGCACTGGCTGGGAATCGAACCTGGGTCTCTTACATGGAAGACAGGAAGTCTACCTCCAACACACTGCTGCCTGCCCATTCCAGGTTAACCTTTAGTGAAGTCAGGTGACCAGCCCCAGGCAACAGATCTTGCCTAGAGGATTCCAGACCATTGGCATCTGCACCATATTACGTAACAAGAGCAGTTTCTATTTCTTTGCAAGCTGCTTTGCGAAGCAAGCACTCCACAAGCAACATCCTACTTCTTCAACACTACTCTGCAAGCTAAGGCGTCTTATCACTTATGTGATGGCTACAGAAAATGAGACTCAGGCTGAGAAACATGCCCAGGGGTAAAACAGCTAGTCAGTGGTAGCTGGGATATGAACTTACATCTGGCTGACTCCTAAGAATGTATGCTTAGCTACATATTGGAACTCAGGACACTAGGGGTATTACCCAGGGACAATTGATCTTTTCTTAACCACTACTGACTTCAAAAAGTGAGGAGAGAGAACAAACAAGATGGCGGATCAGGTGGAAGTGCACTAAGGAGTTCTGTCAGCAACAATATAGAATACCCGACCAAGCAGGTTCAGGGGATGGCCCCAGAACTCTGAAACACATATAAAGGAATACTTAGAAGGTTGGAAGGCTCACAGCTGGGGGTATTTGTGGCAGAAGCAAGAAATCCATTGCTTTCTGGTTCGGGACGCTCAGCTGCTCCAGGAGCCGCCATCTTGGGTGACACCAAGCGGGGGAAGGATCAGAGAAGCCACGGGCGCCTGACAGAACCGCGGAGATAAAGGTGTGGACCTTCTTTTCTTATGGTATCTCTTCATTGGTCCCTTGTTGTCTGCGCACCTCCATTCTGGTAACTATAGGGGTGCCTGAGCTAGCGGACACCCCAGCCCCACCCTCGGAGGGTTCTACTACGCATGCACACAGATCTCCTCGAAATTTAAAGAGACAGTTTCCAATTAAAACCAAATGGCCAAGCTGGCCCTGAACTGTTTATAACTAGAAAAAAGGCCTGAATGGGGATTATGGAGCTGGACAGGCAGACAAAAAAGGAAATAGGGCGAAAATTAAATCCTAAGTTACGTCAAAACGACCAACAGTGGCATCTTGAAATTTCTCAAGAAGAGTGAAAAGGGAAGCCCATTTCCTGATCACATCTACCTGAAGGCAATCAGAAAGCATAAAAAATACCAAAATACATACCTATCTAAGTATTACAGCCACAGATAACCCCTGAATATGCCCCAAAACCAGAAAAAGATGACCATATCTGCACATGTCCAGAAACGAGATAAAGTGACTGAGGCAAATGAGCTGGAAGTAGACCTACACTCCATACTGGAAGATGAGCAGGCTTTGGAAATGCCGGAGAAGGAATTCAGAAAAATGATTATAAAATGTATCAAAATACTATACAATGG